CTCCCGCCGGCCAGCCCTCCCCAACGACGGCAGGACCCAGCAGGGAGCAGGGGCAGCTGCTCTGGGACCCCAGGGAACCCCGAGGGAAGCAGTGGTGCACACACACTGCCACGTGCCCCATCTCAGGTCCTGCTGCTGGGCATCCTCCCTGTCACATCCCTGCCCGTGCACGCTGCCCCAGCGCTCACCCCGTCCAGCTCCCCGCTGCTTTCCCTGGACGGCAGCCGGCCCCTCGGGCTGGGCCTCCTCTCCACAAACACCACCTCGCAGCATGCCTGGTCCTCGTTGTGCTGGCTCTTCCCTGCATTTATCACCCTGCCAGGAGGAAACAAGGTATAAAGGCTCTTTCTTTCACACCATGCTCCAGCAGAGGCCACCCCACAGCACCTCATCCCCTCCAGCCTCCATTTGTGCCCCCATGTCTCCAGGATGCTCTCCATGGTGTCCCTGCCCTGCCTGTGGCAGCAGCAGCCAGGCAAGGAGAATCCCAGACCAGTTGCAGGGGCTGAGCTGGAGCCAGCGGCCGTACTCACTCCCACCAGCACAGGCGGGTCCAGGGGAGAGCGGCCGTCCAGGCATCCACCGAGGGAGGTGACCAGAAAACGCTGGGATTTTTGCTGCAGGTCCCTAGCGCTGCCCCAAGCACAGAAATTGCCTGAAAACCTGCACCAGCCTCAACACATCCCCCCCAGCCAGCACTCACAGATGCCCAGCAAAGGGATTACGGCCTCATCGGTGTCCCATCGCACCCAGCACCTCTCAGAGGGAGCAGGTGCCTCAGAGGAGGAGAGAAGGTGATGAAGACGAAACCAGCAGAACTTTTGCAAAAAGATTCACACTAACTTTTCACAGCCTATGCTGGCAAAGCAGATTTCAGGCCTAGATTGCAAAACCTGCTCACGGGAGGAAGCTGCACACATGCACAACAGGATGAGCTCTTGAGGAATCTGAATGCATGCACAACAGGATGAGCTCTTTGGGCACAGGCTGTTCAAGTGGTTTGCGGAAAGAAGTCTTGGGAGATGGAAGAGAAGTGTTGCTGCTGAGCAGAGGGTGGTTTTTGCTCTGGGTGGTTTTTGCTCTGGTTGGTCCTACCCCAGTATCTCCCTGGGCAAATTAACATCTCAAAAATCTCCCTAGGATAACAGGAAGATCAGCATCAGCAAGGGATGTGGGAGCAGACTGATGGCACCGAGCAGCAAAGGGGGCCTTCAAAGCCTGACCTTCCCCACCTGCCTTCAGTTAAGGGTGAAACTCGCAGCAAGTAAAAGGAGAAGAGAATCAGGCCCTTGAAGGGGAAGTCAAAATCAGGTCCCACTCCCAAGACAGCTTCAATTCCCTCCTCCCCTCCGAAAGCCCCAGCAGTTCCTTCACCCTTCGGTGTCAGTTCCCCATCAGCGACAGCGGGAATTGTGCAGAAAACAAAAGAGACAGAAGAGCTTGAAAGCCTCGGGGGTGGGCAGGAGCGCAGAGCCACGCTGACGGCTTTCCCACCGGCAGGCATTAAAGAGCAAGCTTCCCATCTGCCGCTTCTGGAG